TWWRCRTRCKAAAAATACACACYTTTTTTACACAAAATTTTGATYTCACAGGRARTTTAAATACARAGAGRAGTTCAAACAGACAAGGACACYGACACAGAAACACAGTGAATTTATTTAAGGTGCTCAGATTTGGAGTCAGGATCTGAAAGGGAACAGAGGAGCGATGAGTATTTTAGAAAAAGTCAGTTTGGTGATGGTCTCATTAGCCTGGTTAAAATCAGKCCCTTGTCTTTCGCTTTGCTTCGTACGAGGGTCTGGACTCTCGGCTATAGAGAAGCGATTCTTGCTGGAGGCGTGGCCTCTGCCGGAGATTAAAATGATTGGATCAGTTGGCCACGACATATGTTGCTGTGCAGGAGGCTAAGCGAAGAAGCTAACCAGAAATTGCGTGTTCTGTAAACAACCCTACTGAGAGGAGAGAAGTACCGAGCCGAACGAGACGACTGTAAATGAGAGCTGCTGCTTTGGCAGACATATTTAATTTAATTTGGAAGCTTTAGTAACACAGACTGGCTTCATTCACTTCCTCCACTGCCGTATGCTAAAATAACTAGCCGACACTGCACAGAAAATCAACGTAGTTCAAAACTCCATCTTCTGTTTGCTGATTGGCCCAGGCAAAATAAACTACAAGCAGACACTGCGCAGAAAATCGACGTTCTGTTCTCTGATTGGCRCGAATGAAATGCTCCTGAAGAAATCCTTGTCTTTGGGAGAAATCTCAGACGGAGCTGTGACGGGAAACCAGAACTGAGCGGAACTGCGTAGGAAGACAAGGGCCAGGCTATGATCTTATTAATGTTTTGCTCACGGTAACTGGTTGGCTTTGAGGAGGGCGACGATCCAGGGAGGTTTTGTTGGCAGGTGCAGAGGTAAGCAGAAGTGCAGGAGAGGATGGAAACACAGAGGCTGATCTAATCTTTCCTTTAGCAGGAGGCTGCTGACCTTGACAGGAGCCAAGGCTCGATAGGTCACAGGGACAAAGCTGGTTAGTATAAAACTGTTACAAGAGGGTCTGTCGACCGGTTGGTCTACTAATGTTCCAGCAGAGAGGAACTGAGCTCCAGGGTCTCATCAGCCAGGATCAGGATCAGGATCAGCTGAGGAGGACTCGGCTCCACCCCACCACTCAGAAACTGCAACATCACTGAAACCCTGCACGTTTCTACAACAAAAAGAGTCACAAAAACATGACCATCCATTTAGTCCCTTTTCTCTTCAGGAAATAAATGGTTTTCTATCGACTGTTACAATCCATATCACCTTGCTTAAAGTCTTTCAAAACCATCTTTAAAATAAAAAAGATCCAGTGGGAAGAAAGGTAAAACAAAACAAACAAAAAATAATCAACTACAAAAGGGGTGCTGGAAGTGAATTTTATTTTTTTAGACTGAAATAAAGATTGAAAAAAAATCAAAATAACCCTCTGAAACCTGAAGCAGCAATAACAGAATCCTTTACTTTAGTTAGTTAAATCAAATATTTGCCTGCAGAAAACATGCTGGAGTAATCTCTGAGCAATGCTCTCCGTGCAGCGGTGAGGACACGTACTATATTATACAGCACACACTCAGTTAAGGCAAATATTTGAACGCATAAATAAAGATTTTACTTCTACCTCAGCAAGAAAAACAAAATCTTTCTGATGCAAACTCTTCTGAAGGCTGATGTCACTGTCCTTGGTGCTGAAACTTTGTGTTAGAGAAGAGATGAGCTCAATTCATCAAAAACTCTCCAAAGAGTTTGCAACTATATTGTTTGGAAGGGCAACGCTAACATCCTGAAAAAGTATCGATTTGAACAGTAATCAACTCGAGATGTATATAAAAAAGTAATTTTGAGATGAAACATTTGCTATCTACTAAATAAAAAAACCTGAATTATCAACAACCACACTCAAAGGTCAATGCACAGCCAGATACAAAACCAAGAAATCAATTTTATTTGTCCTTTCTTTTTCAGTTATTTGACCTTTATTTAACCAGGAAGTTCACATAGAGATAAAACATCTCTGCCATTAAGGAGTCCTGGTCAACAGGACGGCAGTTTTATGTCAAGAAGAGCAACAGGTTTCGTTTAGGAGCGTGGCAATGATAAATGAACAGGAGGATAAAATGATCATCTGTCTTCCTCTTATGTCTGACCTGAAATTGAATAACTTTAGAGATGTTAAATACTTTAACACAAATTACTGCAATACATCAGTTATTTAGTTTTGTGATTGTCTTGATGTTCCTGTTTAGTCTTCTCAAGTAATGTATACCTGCTGGCTGCTGACCCTTTGTGAATATGTAAATGTAAGTTATATTTAAGTGTAGATATCTGCAAATATGTATTTTCCTTGAATACTTGCAGAACTAAGACCAAGCTATATGTAAGTGTTTGAATTACATAGACTGTTTCCTCATTTTACGCCTTATTGAACACATTAAGTATGTATTGACTGGCCTTTTTATGAACTCATGTTTTTTATGTTTTGGTTTATTTGTTACATTATTTAAACATGGTCAAAATGAAGCCTAAATTAGAAAAAAAGTCAATGTTAGTGACAAAAAGGTGAACTGCTTGATCCTCTTACAAACAACAGAATATGTTTTCTCACAGATGCTCGTGTTGTAAATAGATAAATTCATATAAATAAACAGCAAATCAATTATTCTCACATTTTTTTGTTTACCCAACTTGAAGTAGATGCTTTTAAATTATTTTTCACATTGAAATCCTTCAGTTGGGGTCTATATAAAGTGGAACTGCAATGCTTTAGTCTTAATTCCTCCTTATTGTAACTCCACAAGCCCCGCCCCTTTTCTGGGGCGTGTCTCAGATCAACTCCTTTTGTGGCTGTCTCTTTAAATCCAAACAAGGCCCTTCACATCCTGCCCCAGTCCATTCTTTTAAAGAGGGGTTTACAACTATAGAGCTGCACAGAAACTCTTTATTTACAAATGAAGATAACCAGGGAAGACTTGTCCCTCCAGCCTTACATGAGCCAGAGTCTGACCCAGAGCCAGAGGATCTTATTTAGAAATTATTTTGCAAAAACTGTGATGTAATAGTACAGAAAACAGGTTAAAAGTATGACCCAAACAGAATAAAAAAATATCTATACAGCACCAGGAGACGTTTTCTGCACTCCTAGAGACTCCACGTATAACAAAATGTATTTAACGGCTAAAAAAGTGGATTTTGCAGGGAACGTCCTCTTTAAGGCATGCAGACGACTGCCAGAATCACTTTCCCTGAGAAATGAAGCATTGTTTTAATGAGATGTAGCAAATTCTTTAGCTTTTCCTCGGCTTAAATGCAGCTCAGCTGTCAATCCGAGCAGCAATTACATCCACTGGCAGCCATGGGAGACAGAAAGTGACTAACGTGACCCTTCAGTCCAAGCAGCATCCTTATCAGCTGAGCTGTTACTCTGGAGTCCAAAAGGTCACGTGTGTGTCCCCTCTGACTGCGGACCCTCAGTGGACTTCTAACAGGAGTTATCTCCACTATTGTGGAGCTCACAGGCCATCAGTCAGGAGGAGAAGACGCGTTTGAAGTGAGGATGAAAGGCTCCAGTTTCAGGTTCTGCTTGAACAAAAGCTCAAGGAAAAAAAAAAGAAAAGGTGTTTCTAATGAGCTGAGAGCCACAGTTCTGTCTGCAGGCTGCATCCTAAACCCACCATCAATTTACTTACAACTTGTCTGTCTGCTCCCCTTCCTCCCCGTGCCACCAGAAATAGAATCTGCCCCAGACGCATTACCATCCCCACAACATAATTCAATGCAGGTAAAGCCTACAGCACAGCAGTGTAATCATGGCTTCATATTTCCCTCCATCTTCCCAGGCTTTTTTTTTTTTTTTTTTTACCCGGGAATCAATAACGCAGCAGAAGCTCGCATTTCCCCGATTTTCAAACGATGAAAAGTGAGGAACGAGGACAGATACCGCCGAGGACAAGTTATTTTTGTGCACCCGCCGTCTTGGCTCCTGCGTCTCTGTCCGTGGAGTGAGAAAACACGAGCCGTCAGCGTGCGCACGAGCGCGCCTCCTGTCCTGACCGTCCTGGGGACGCAGAGGGAGGCGCAGCCGGGGGGGTGCTCTGGCCAAAAGTCAGGCGGGAAGTCTCGGATTTTTTCATTCTTTTTGGAACCCAGAACCTGAAATAAACCGACTTTTATCCTGTTCTGCGTTTCCTGACATCAGCGCGAGCCTTAAAGTCGCCTGTCAAACTTACTGCAGCTCAAGCCGATGTCTTTATTATTATTATATTATCATTATTATTTAAATTGCTCTACTTAAAACGTCTCTCTGTGCGTAACCACAGCGGATCCAGGGATGCTTGACTGAGAAAAGAAAGAAGAAGAAAGAAGAACTGTGGATTGGACTCCTGGGTCTGGATGTTTGGAGGCTCTCAGTAACCTCTTTTTTTAATTTGTTTGTTTTAATGAAAGCCCGTTCTGTCCTCAGTTTGTGGAGGTGCGCGGTGTTTTAGTCCAGAGCGCACTTGTCTGACTCAACGATGCGCTCCGCTGGGAAATACTGCGTGTTTTTGTTTTTGCTCCTGATTAAAAGTCTCCTGTCGGACCCGGGAACCTCCAACCAAGGTGAGCCCGAACACGACATGAATCAAATCTGACAATAAAAAACATTCAGTATCTGTTTATCACTCATGTAATGTAATTTAATACAAACAAACCGTTTTCCTGAACTGAGCTTTAAAAAATATTTAGATGCTTTATCACTAAATACTTGAACTGATCTTTCCTCTGAACAAACATAAAGAAAATTACAATGTTAAGATGAGAAAATAGTTTTTGTTATGCTCACAGTAGAAACAGTGTCCTTTATCAATGATAAGGTAACGGCTGCAGTTGAAGCCCCTGCTCTATCATATCAAGTCAGTGTGGCTCAATAACACTGTAAAAACAAGCTGTTCAATTTGAACCAATCAAATCATAAACATTTTCTTTTATTCAGATGATAACCAATGTTTAATAAATGCAATAATATAAGCACACTCTGTTTCAACTAATCATCATCATCGTCATCAACAACAACAACAACAAAACTTAATTCAACCATATAAAAATCATTGGGATCAAGCATGACCATAGATCAGCAGAACACACAACGATCAAAATGAGTAATAATGTAAAATAAAATTCTGTGTATGGTTAAGTTTTTGGTTTTTATGTTTCAAAATAAAATGAGGAAAAAGATTATTTTTCTTTTGTTTTCAAACTAAGTTAGAAAATTGAAAAAACAGATATGTTATTT